CAGGGTTTGTTTCACTGTTGCATACCCCTGCTACTCCAACCTGCCTAGTAGCTAAGCCGGTTATAACCTGCTAAGTAGGCAAGCAGTTTCTGTCATAGGCTCATTTTCAGGAATGTCTAGGTTTATACATGAAATCATGATTCGACGACAGGAATTCTCCAGGATTGATGTTTTTTCCTACACATATTGGGGAGCATGGGTTATGAAAAAGCAAGCGTGCAGGTTCTTCAGGCATCTTTTTCGGAGCAGCGTGCCATCATCAGCGCATCCAACCAGCTTGCATCACGCTCCTGAATGGGTGTGAGTCACACTATGAATGTCAGAATCGGAGACAGGTTCCATGCAAAACTTGAATGATTTCAAGGCGAGTTTCGGCTTCAGCCTCCGCTTAGAGGCCAAAATCTTCATCCGGCCCATCTTCAGAACCCACTTGCTGAAAGAAGCAGGCTTCCGAGGAGCCTTGAGTGACACACCTTGGGCCACTAGCGCAAAATTTATCTGTGGATCAACTTAGGCAAGAAATTCGAGTCCCAGGCCTTTCAGCCAGCCCATAGCATCTTCACTGGCAAAATTGTGTGTGTACCGGGTATTGTAACCTCAGTCCAGAATCAAATGGAGATCTCACGGAATTCCATGTGGAGTCTATGTCTGAATCCAGGCACGCCATGCTCGGGCCTGTCGAAGCAAATGGGAGAAAGCCTTAGCTTACCAGGGTTATAAGCTACGCCAGAATCCAGGATGAACCCTAGAAGCTTGTATGAACATGTACGAGGCGAGGAGCATGGAATTTCGGCTTGATAATCCATGCCACAATGCCAAGCCTACAGGGCGCAGGCTTCGTGGAATGTACTATACAAGCAGACCTGATCCTAGCAAGCGCCATCAAACATCCATTATATTACTTCGAATTCTAGATCACACCGAGCAGCCTGCAAGACAATCTCGTCAGCGTGCGATGGCAAGACAGAAATTTTGTCCCAGCATCATAGATTTGATTTGCCTCCTCCATTGTCCTTAATTCGAAATGTACCGGTACCTAGATCTATTTCTTTCGAACTGCTATTCTAACTAATTACAGCCCTAAACCCATATAACCCCAAAATGCCCCTACACCCTGATTATTACAATAAAATAATACAAGTATATGCCCTAGACCATCTGAAACGCCATACACCCTAATTATAATAAAGAGAACCAGTGCTTGGTCGCGATGGGCGGCAAGTAGCGGCCTGCTCGCTCACACAGGCCAAACCAGCGAGAGAACGCAGTCCTGGGTTCTAAGGTGGGAATTCCTATTAATTATGATTCGGGGTTTGTAGCTGATAATAAAAAATAAACTCATCACAGGGCTATCAAAATAAATGAACCAGACTGAGTAGCAGGGCTCTGGCATGAAGTTGCAGCTTCACATCTTCAGGCGCATGAATTGCAGCCTTCCGGCAAAGATCTGATAACCAATCCAGCACCGCGCGGCCGTTGTACGCCTTGGCAGTGAAGTAGTACCCATGGCTTGCTTTGAGTAGGTGCCCTTCCCGAAAGACACGTTGGCTGCAAGGAACTTTGTTCAGTTTTCGCCATATTTTGAAACCCTCAAAGGCCTTGTGTAAACAAGCATTCATTCCAGTACCAAGATCTCCGAATGTACCGTTCTGAAGAAGAGCTTGCCTCAGCTTATGACTGCGGCTTACCTACACTAAGCCCTATAATTAGTAAAATTAATACTATTATTATAATTTTCTATAATTTTGTAAGAACCTCCCTTGTACATGTAAACAACCCTGAAAAATACTAACATATTCAAGTCACAATGCCCCGGCGCTGGCTGTGTGAACCAAACCCAGATTACAAATGTGCATTGAACAGAATTTGATCATGGTCACATGGAACCCTCGAAGATGAAGGAAGGGGCCTGTAGGGTTAAATTCGCAAACGCAATTTATTGTAATAAATTAATCCTATTCTACTACGTATACCTGTTTAGACCAAAAGCTGATGATAATATGGCTTAGTCTCTGAGTGGTCCCGGCCGAACCTTTCGATTGATGAAGCCAGCTGTGGTAACTTCGGTTGCAACCCAGGGTGCCTCATCCCCAATACTGTAATATCGCAGGGTGTCATCCGCAGCATGAGCATCACACAAGAAGCAACATTCCCGGGAAACAGGGGTGGCTTTCAAACGTAGAACCCGCTCATGATATTTCCAATCTCCTTTCAATTCTGCACAGGCGTATCTGCAATTTCCGGCCATCATCGTTCCTGCAAGCCGGCGCTTCTTCATCGGCAACTGCTGCCCGAATGCATCAAGTTCCGGATACACCCCAGAGAAAGCTACATTGCAGCTCCATACCAGGTGTTGCAGAATGGGTCGTAGTGTTCTCAATTGGTCGTGGATCATGTGTTCATCCTGCGTGCAAAATAGCAAGAATTGTCCTTCCCTGACAGATTTCGGCTTGAAAAGGGTCAGGCTCAAATAGATTCCAGTGACTTTGTCCTTCGGATCCCCTAGCACGCATTCATCGCCATAAAGAGAAAAAGGTATATGGTCGTCGTCGCCCGGGAAACATTTTGCATGTGGCATATCACACTCTCGGAGGTGTCGCCAATAATTCTGAACAACTTCAGGAGGGGGAACTAGCTTCAGTTCAGTTCGGAGGTAATCCAGGAGTTCGTGCACATCCACCACAGGCACTGTAGTCTCTACTTCGGTCATCTGCCCACTGATCATCTGATGCGCAGGAACTCTGACATTTGTGGGGTCCTGGGCTGTACTCAATTGTATTAGATTCCAAAGTTAAGGGTTCAGACGGATAAAGTATAATAATTATTCAGGAAAAAGAAACAGAATCGTATATGTCCCAGACACAAGAGGAACATTCACATGTTTAAAGAAGTCACGGGCGTAGTTTCCAGGTTTGTATCGCATCAGCTTGCGAATGGTCTTGCTCTTCACATTCCCCCTGGCCTCCTGAATCGAATCAACGCAATATAACCCTGGGGTATAAACAAAAACTATAGATCAATAAGTATAAAAATCCACACCCAAAAACAACAGACTTAGTTATAGATGGATCCGCCTAGCTATACTATGAACATAACACAGACCCAATAATTAATTGTACATGTTCTATTTTCGACATCATCTCCAACTAGATCCCCAAGAACTCCTCGAAGCTGCTGTGTGCATCATGCATCGCCGCACCAACAGTTTTGGCCTTGGATTGCTATGGCTAAGGATAACACACGCGAATGCGCAGCAAACCTGGCTCTGGGAAAGTACCCTGGATGCAGTAGAGCCTCTCCAGACGATATTCGTTCCAGCATATTTTGAAGCAGGCCAGATTCTGCATCACCATCTTCATGATCAGTATCAGTCGACCCTGGCCAACATGTGATGTACTTATAATGTATATGTACTTTGCTTTATGCAGGGCTAGGTCTGAAAAAGCTCACATGACAATACCTCTTTCACGCTCTGACCTGCAATTCGCTCTCGATTTGCCATACCGGATTTGCATGGTACACTTGTATGCTAGGAGCTGCCAAAACCAGCTGCGCAGCGCTGCCCTAAGCAGCATTCATCAAAAGTTCGCCACGCTGGCAGGCATAGAAAGGCAGGTAGATTGCCATGGGTGCGGCCGCGTACCAATCAAAAAGCTGGAGCTACAATCTCATGATCTAAGCGTGCCCCCTATAACTTATTATCAAATGGGATTGCAAATAAACAAGATTTACATCAGGTGTCCACAAAGGTTTCCAACTAGGCAATGATCATCAGAGAGCTACACAGCTCAGGTATGCTCACCATGAGCACGATATGGATCTCTGCTCGTCTACGCCCTACGCCTTTGGCGATGGCTGCCTCCTCGCAACTTGCAGACATGTACAACAGCCCACTATTATACCCGTGTGAACCGTTAATAGGGGGTACCCCGCTAACGAGTGCTGATCAGCAAGGATGGTATCCCCACTAGATAGCTAGCTAGCATCGCATAGCTAAATGAGTTCATATATGGGCTGTGCAGTACACGACACGAAGTGGCCATGGAGGTCTAGACGCTAAGGTTCATCCCTAGCGTAGTGGAAAACCCGCAGTGGCAAGCCATGATTGTACCCAATCACGTTATGCACTTTATGCCGCCTAATCCAGGATTCAAAGCACAAGCATGCGCTAGAATGATATCACTTTCCACCACTGCTTTTCTTGCTGCTCTTGCAGTTGGTCTTGTAGACCTTCGCAATTTCATCAAACTTAGCAGAAGCCTCAAGCAGGGCCACGGTCAATTCCTCCATTGTCGTCACCTTGCAGGGATTTGGTGTTGGGCACATATTATTGGGATTTCAGGTCGAATCCTTCTTTGCCGCCGCCTTGTTGGGATTTTGCTGGGAATCTACCATGGCTCAGACTAATTATAATACTTTAAAACTTTCGATCTGGGTATTGGGGAATAGGGTTTCAAACTTATTAGCATGTTCGGGGTCAATGCATCCATCGTCACAGCAGGATCTTGAAAGAAGATTGTTGGCCAAATATACCATCTAGGGTTTTAGGGTTTTGGGCTTATCGGGTCAAATCCTCCATTGTAGTTGTACCCTATTTATTATATTATAATAGGGGGTGTAATATCTACATATATATCGTCATATAGCTATATTTATTATGTATATATTGTGCATGTTGGGGCCGACTCATTGCAATTATTGGCAACCTTGCAGGGATCTCAGGGCAAACTCATGATGCCAGTTAATTGCAGCTAAGTATGTGGTATTTGGGGTCTATTTATAATCCTCCATTGTCATCATCACCTTGCCAGATCTTGAAGAAAATTGCCGGGCCCAAATTTGATGAAATGTGTTAATCATGTTAAAGTGTTGCGGGTCTTTATGTGGTTTGGGGCTGTGGGCTTTTGGGGCTAAGGTTTCGATTCCTGCGTACCTGTGGATAACATCCCTGGGAATCAGTTGTGGCCCGGTATGATACAGGGGCCCACACAAGAAATCGTGTATATATCCTGCCATTTAAAACCCTCCTATAACTAGCCCGATACCCGAATATATATATTATTCTCGCCCTCGAAGCCTTAAACGCATAAACCTTGAACCCAAATTAAATTGAATCAGCCCTCAGGATAATCCACTGCCTCATCGGCGTCGTATGCGCTCTGCAGCTTGGCACGGGCTTGCTGGATCACGTGGGCCTGTAATTTCAAGGGGTTGCATGTGGGTCCTATACATAGCTCCATGATCATGCCAGTCCTGTTGCGCAATATCCTTCTTCATGGCAAGCAGGAGATGATTCCCCCTTATATTAGCTCACAGGGATTATAATAAGCATAATAATTATGAGAATGGGTGAATGCATTGATTTGATGATTCGGTCTAGGAACACATCCGGGATCTCTTCCTTCTCGATCTTGGCCGCAAGCTTGATCTTATCGGTAGCTTTGTCAATAGCCTCAATCAAGTCGAATCCTACACGGAAATCATCAAGTATTGGTGGTGAACATCTACCCTGGCCCTACAATTTCATATATAGTATTGGGTTTAGGATTTGGCGTCTGTGGGTATACAGCTTGAACTCAGGATTAAAATAAACAGGGTTTGGGTTTGGGGTATTGGGATTTGGGGTTTCGATCTTTCATGTCGTGCGTTTGAACATCCAAATATGATTGCCCTAATTTTCAATCACATTTGTAATAATAACGTTGCTCTTTTGGGGGATCCTGTTATACTTAAAATTCCCTCCTTGTAATGCCTGCAACTCCTCCCATGCCAGAACCTGACCTGAAAATAAATGGTTTATCTAGCTAGGGGTTATATAGGTAGTAAATTTAGATGGGGAAATTAGCTGGGGTGACCGACCTTCTTTGCCTTGCTCTTCTTCTCCTTTGCGGCTTTCTCCTGCTTCTCCTTTTCTTCTTGCGCTTGCTGCTCTTCGGGCGTCAACTCCACCTTGGCCTGGACCGCAATTAGAAGAACCGAAGTTTGATCATGAATCGCTACTTTCAAATACAATGTGCAATAACATGAATTCATCTGCAGAATCATGAATTCTAGCGCCTTCTTGTCTTTGCCCTTTCCACATCCTTGCTTCGACTTCGCCTTAGCCATTGCAGCCTTTCCCCGGGACTTTTTCGGAGTTTTCGATTTCTTTCCTTTCTTCTTTGCCTTGTCGTCCTTCTTGCTGCTCTTGCTAGCCTTCGAAGCCTTTCGCTTGCCATCATCTCCATCATCGTGATCATCGTCATCATCCTCATCGCTCTGGGAGCTTGACGAGTCGGACATCTCCACGTCAAAGACATTCTCGAGCTCCTCCTCGTCCAGGTCCTCCTCCGTCTCGTCGCAGAGGCACTTGTATTGGATCATGTCCTGCAAAAAAAAACTTGCATGAAAATGCGCACTCAACAACTGAAGCACCAGCATGAATTGTTGTCAGGAGTCCTTGCGCTGGGGGCATTCCGGGTGAGGGCGGATCTCCGTCTCACGCTTCAGGTCGTCCAACTCTTTCGCCTCGATGATGTCCGCAGCCACGCTCTCTCCGTAGCGCTCCACAAGCTCGGCTTTTGTGTACCACCTTCTAAGGCCTTTCTTGCGGTTGGCCTTCTTTGATCGAAGCTTCACCAGGAGTTTCGACTTGGCCCAGCAGCCTTCCGCCAAGAGCCAGTGTTCAAAGAGAAACGACCTTTGGGAAGCACTGTTCTTGCACTTCTCACCAAGCCGGCTGATCTCTTTGGGGCAGTTCGGACCTTAGCTACAAATACAGCTTATAAATTATGAGCCACATCATGTTACAAACGTTGCACAAGTCATGGGATACGAGTGCATCAAAGTAGCTCGACAAGCTGCGGTAGAAGCGCATATTTCTTGCGTGCAGCCGCTTGCGTCTTTCCTCTTTGGCTTGCTTCGCCTTTGTTGCTGCATCCACTTCCTCCATATCCTTCCCCTTCAAGTTCTCCTCCTTGTTTTCTGTTGTCGCATCTTCCTTTGGGGTTTCCGCATCATCTTGCTTCTGCTTCTTTGTGGGCTGCCCCGGCTCACCCTCACCATTGCCTGCCTTCGCTTCCTTAGCTGCCTTGCAGGCCATGTCCTTTTGATACCGATCTATGTCTTCCACAATCTTCTGCAGCTCCCAGTCCCGAAGCTGGTCTACTGTATGACCACGCTGCAGGATGCCTTGCAAAGCCAGTAGTTGGGAGGGTTGCGATTGACTGCCCCATTGCTGTTGCGAACGGCCACCCCACCAATTATACGCATTGCCCCGCCAACCCATGTTGCTACCCTCACTCCAAGAGCTTGACTCCCAGGTACTCGAGCTCTGGTTCTGCCACCAATCACCTCCAGACCACGATGTCTGGCACCGGCTTGCCAAAGAGGCATCACCACCCTCCGGGACCTAGGCGACATAGGTTTTGAGGTTTACGGGCTTAGGTGTCTAGGGATTAGGGTTTACAGTCTCGGGCTTTGGGGCTTATTATTTATGATATATATATATACAATAATTATATATATAGAATTTATATATATGGCGGAGGGTCGGGAACTGCAGGTTCAAGGAGGACTTGCAGCACAAATTTTATTTATTACAAATATAAGGGTTTATAGGGTTTAGGGTTTATAAATTAGGGTTTAGGGCGTCTTGCCACGTGGCGGCTGAAGGGGTCTAAAATATCATTAGTTGGAGGCAGAAATGGGGCTAGATATCGGGTATTGGGAGGTTCCTGTTGGAGCTGCGTCGGAGTTGGATCCTGCTAGCAGGGGATGTTATAACGGCAATTATAAATTATAATGGGATATACAGGGCTGGTTGCTGGGTTTGAAAGTTGGATGAGAACTCCTGCAAGCTTCTTGCTCATGGGGTCAGGTTTAGCATTGTAATAATAATTTTATAATTCCAATTAAATTGGTTTAAGGGTCCAGCGAAACGTTCCAAATCTGGGTATACTTTCCCACCTACAATCCCCAAGTCAGTTTTTCAACCCTGGCGAGGCCCCAGCCCTGAATACTTCCTTTATATAGCCCGTCTTAGATCCTTTAATATGTATCCCCTATACTGTATCACTTAAAACCCCGTAAACGCCAAACCCTATATATAGCTATTATAAACCCTTACCCGCTATGTTATATAAGCCCGACACACGAATTTATGTAATGCAACTAAATTATGAGCCACAACCTCATCCCAGGTTATTATTATGGAAAAGCGCCTTGGAAGGCTGCGAAGTCTGCTTCTCGTCCTTATCAGGGCTGTTGAAGAGTCGGCGCCTTTTGCCCACTGATTTGGCATTGGGAGTTGTCTTGCTGGGGCTTGGCTTCGACTTGGCATCAGGGGTGCACTTGCCGGAAGGATCAATGTCTGCTGACTTCAAATCCTGGTCCTGGGTTCTGCTTGGGGTTTTCTGGTCCTGGGTTCTGCTTGGGGTTTTCTGGTCCTGGGTTCTGCTTGGGGTTTTCTGGTCCTGGGTTCTGCTTGGGGTTTTCTGGTCCTCGGTTCTGCTTGGGGTTTTCTGGTCTTGGGTTCTGGTCGGGGTTTTCTGGTCCAAGGTATTGCTTGGGCTCTTCAACTCATGTGTTGCTGGGTCGAAGGGTACATGGTTCGGATCCCGGGCATTTGAAGGGTCCATAGCCGCAGATAGCCCTTCAGCTTCATTCATGGCCATTTGCTGGTCCTCGGTTCTGCTCGGGGTTTTCTGGTTCACGCCTTTGCTTGGGGTCTTCTCGGCCTGCTGAGCTTCCTTTAAGGGGGTTGCAAGTTGCTGGGAATCCAAGAAAGTCTTTCGGCTTTCGTAGGTCCACTGCTGTGTACCATCCTCATTCGCAGTCACAGGGGCCACTACAGGCATTGCGATGCCCGGACTCAACAGCTCCCTTTTCACAAGCTTACAAGCGGGTGTAGCACTTGGCTCTGCTTTCAAGGCTTGCGCTGCTGCCGGCTTCTCCGAATCATCTTTGCCATGGTCTTTCGAAGGTGCCTCGAAAGCCGAACCTTGAATGTGGGCAAATTATGTGGGTTATTCTAGATCTAGGTGTAGGGTTACGTGGGTTGCTGCAATTTTCGTATTATAATTTACACGGATTAGCATTCACACTTCGAATTCGTAGCCCCGTGCAGGAATCATGGAACAGCAGTGGACACATTATAGGCCTCTGATCTAAGTCCCATGTAATGCAACATTTTCTGGGTACATACGTGTGGCAGGGTCACCCAGGTTGTATAGTGATTAGTGTTCGCAGTTCACATCCCGAATCGCAGGAATCATGGAGAAGTGGTCTACGCACAAAACCACTCTAATTTATCATCCCTGCTATGTACCAAACTGCTATTCGGATCCCTTTGACTCCAACTCCCATTATTCATACAATAAACTCATGCAGGACACTATTTAATTTGGGAAGTTCAGGCGCGTCACCCAGGTTATAGGGATTTATGTAGTAATAAATATGATGTTATATGGCAGTTTAACCCTGGGTAATGTTGCATCCTGGACCCCGGATCTATAGTATTATTTTATAATGTTGTATATTCTATTATAATTATAAATATAATTACTCATATATAGGTGTGGCCCAATAACCCCAGGTGCAACAAATAATCCTGAAATCCCAGCGAGTTCGATCAAGAAGCCTTGATTTAAAGCTCTGGCCCGCATCTTGGCAGCAGCAGCAATTGCTTGCTGCACTGCGTCTTCTCGTGAAGAAGCAACCATTATAATTGCCGAAGATTACAAGAATGCTGAATGTAGCAGGTGAATGAGGACCCTGGCTATCATGTTACCAGATCCATGATCATGACCAATCGCAACAAAAGACCAGCTTGAGCAGATCTAATTCACGAGCAAAGTAAGGATGTAGGCCACGTCAGCATGCGTGATTCTATTTTGGTAATCCAGAAGAAACCTCCATTTCGAGACTGATTTCCTAGCTGCCCCAGACCCCTCCCGGATGCTCCCCAGAGTCACGCTCGAGTCACGCTCCAGTCACGCTTCCCCGGGCCCTGTGGTGGCAGGCTAGGTATAGGTTTACGAGAGGAGTCACGCTACAGTCACGCAGAGTCACGCTCCAGTCACGCTCCAGTCACGGTATTTTTGCTTGGGCTGACATTGCAAGGTTTCCTGAGAAAACGCCGTCCGGTAGCTTGAAATCTCTGTGCCTCGCAAGAACTCTCTGGTTTTCTACCTTATTAATTTCTCCCTACAGCTACCATTCACATGCTGGAAACTAATAACTTCTCATCCAAGGACAGCTGGATGGTATGCAGACCGAACGCAAAACAAGGCTTCCTGATTACCATCTGTTGGGATTCTCCAAAAAACACATGATGTACAACTTTGGCAGCTGTAGGCAATATTGGAGATTCGCACGAATTACCGCAAGTATGCAGGCTTCATGAGTGTAATTACAAAATTAAATGTACAATGCATCAGCCCATGCCCGGCGCCAGCTCTGGTTCTAAAGCAAAATTGGAGGATATCTGAGCAGGTTTGGATGCAGTCTAGCGCTAGTCCCAATAGCTAGCACAGGCAATCAGAGGGCTCGTAAAATCCTCTAGAGTGCAAAAACCGGTGAGAAGCGGCCAGCGCGCTGCTCCTGTTCCAGGAAATCTCGAACATCCTGGAGCTCTGCGTGGCTCCACCCAAGGGGCGCCTGTACCTGGACAGATGCTTGGTAGGCCTATAGAAACCCTTCTTAGACCCTCAACCCCATATACATAGTATAGTTTCACCCTATAAACCCTAGCTATGAGCCCGAAACCAAAGGTAATATCATAAATTACTAAAAAAAACCCTGTCCCTTGCACCGAATATTCTATATAACCGCAAATACCAGCCCTCAACACATGATCATATAAAACATACAATTATATAATTATAACCATGAACACGAGAATATCCTAAATAGAATGCCCTTCAAAATTTAATACATCGTTTATAATAAATTATTATAATATTGGATATAAGCCCCTCAACCCTAGACCCAGTAGCCCTATAACCCGAAAGATCAGGACGTATACTTCATTTCGTTGATGCAGCGCAAACCGAAAAGCTACGGCCGCAAGACCATCCAAAGAGAATCATCATGATCAGGGGGGGGGAAGCGGGGTGATCTCAAATGGGAGACTATTTAATTCATTGTGCCCGGGGTTTAGCAGCTTGCAAAATCCGGAATGAAGGTGGTCATGCCTGCTATACTGGAATAGAATTTATTTATGAGAGTTATTTCCTTTTATGGGTCTCAGTATCATTCCAAGCTGGGTTGACGACAGTAATTAAAGATTCTTTGGGGATGTAGGTGGGTTGACCCGTGCTTATCCCACATCCCGCCTTGGTCTCGCTCAGCACTTTGCGCCCTTTTTTCAGGTAGGACTCCAT